CTAAAAGTTGGTCACTTGGTCATTCCAAGTCTTTCAACTGTCCCATAAACCGAACATCTCTGCTGTTTGGTATATGCTTAGCCGCGTGATGGGAGAAAATAATCCCGTACAAAAATGACTCATAGATCTAACCTATGGCAATAAACGCAAGGTCTCCGAATCATAGATAATTATCCACAAACTAATCATATGTTTATGATATCTGGTCGCCAATAGTCTTATGACTAAGCGTCTGGTCTTCAGTTCAACCTAAGGCATTTTCGGTAATTTGATGAAAATCCGGTGATTTTGTGGCTTCTGATCACCTACAACCGTAGGTAGGTATGTAATTCCCTCCGAGTCATAAACCATTTTGATCAAACGCGCATAAACACAAGTGCATACGATAAACAACAGTTTCAAAGCAGTCAGCAATCATCCGGAGTAGAAATTAGGGAACTTGAAAGGACTGACTCTGACTTGAACAGGACGTTGTTCTTCTGTCCATACTGTACAAATACTGTTCGGGCCTAACTGTGTTCATCCGTCCGAATGAGCTATTGCTCAAGTCGTAAAGATAACGATAAGGAACACATACAAACAGAAAGTAAAGCATCATACACACATCCGGGCTTTAACGGAAACCGGTGTGTGTGTGTGTGTGTGTGTGTGTGTGTGTGTGTGTGAACCGGCTTTACATCACACACGCTGCCATCATCCATATTATTTTTTATGACTTCCATACCAACCTATTTGGTGGTCGGTCGCCTATCATTGGTGGCCTGGTTTGATTTGACGCTTACAAACCCAGGTACTGTCTACATCCACGTCACGCCCAGTGGTGCCTCACCAAAGCTATCCAGCACTATCATCAATCAACTATCTCATCTGTGCACTTCAGAAGGGTTGGTGTTGTTGGTTCAAAGGCATTTTGTTGACAAATTAGATGATGAATTTTCATAAGGTAATCTAAATCATCGCTAACGCCATCGGTGATTGCTTTTATAACGCTGTGTTTGAATAATTGACGAAAATTTCCCTGAAATATCGGTATGTTTATCCTTATCAATAATCAGGCGTGTATATATGGATTCACAAACGGACTTTGAACCAAATGCTGTTCACTATATCTGCTACATACTCTTTCAGTCCTTTTTTCTCTTGGAGTTGATAATACCTAATAACTTCTATCGAGTTCTGTGTGTGGACCAACAAATTGCACTGGAGCGCTGTGTTCATCGCATCAGCAGCCAGCACGCATGGTTTCTTCCTCCCGGAACCCTTTGGCTGGGGGTCCAAGCCCTTCCCACTGATAGCTAGCTACACGATCGATGATCCACAACGCTAATTGATGAACATTCTCCTTCGTCTGCTGTACATTCGAACACACCATAAAACACAAACTCTGGGGTCTAGTGGCTTCAGAAGGACAAATGTCCTTCTGATTAACACCTGGTTTCAAAATCAAACTGATGAGATTGTCGACCAAAACAAAATATTCGGAAGCTGATCCGTTCAAATGAACATTGGCAATATTTAGAGACTGTATACGATTCCAGATGTGAAATTATCATTGAGAGTAAACAAATCAAAGAGAAAAGTTAGAGTACAACGTTTAAATCTCGATGTGCTCATTTCTCACGTCATAATTAAGCAATTTTCGGAGCAATAATTCAGAGGGGATTTTGCCGCTTTATTCCGCAAAATTTTCTCTTACTCCACGTGACATTTTGTTAAAGCTTCACTCATTGGACTTTCAAAGTCTTTACCCATCTTTTAACCCTTCCGCCCAAACTCCAATAAAACTATATCTACTTGTCTCGAATAGGTCTGGTAATTCAAAAATATCCTGTTTATCTATTATCGTTATCATCATCGTCATCGTTGTACAGCGGGTCCATTGAAGCAAACTTTAATGAACGATGCCAAACTTACAAGGCATACAATGTGAATGAAAATGTGTAACAAGGAAAGAAATAGTCTATTTTTTCAAGGTCGGGGAGAGAAATCCAATCTCTGTGGTCAACACAGAGCACACAGTTCAACTGAACATGCATACTATCCCAAGCATTCCGGTCTGATATGAACTGGTCATGAGATCCTCACTAAATTCGATTTTCCGCCATGATGTTTAGTGTTACGGAGTCTCTGGAACCCCAACCCGAAGTCGAGGGACATCTACTGTATACAGTTGCTCTTTGCATTTCTTTATACCTCGTTTCACATCGTCTGTTGACCTCCGCATGGTTTTCTCCACTCTGGAGTAGCCACTGCTACTGAGGTTCGATGGAATAGATGACTGTTAGACACGCAAAACTTTTCTTATCCAACGGATTCTAAAGAGCGGAATTATATGGAATAGTGATACCCAAACACCGGTCTAAATTATTAACGCGCTCACTTCATTTCGCTTGGGCCATACTAAGTAAACATAGATTGTCGAAAACCGCTGGTTGATGGATGTTTATTAGTTTGACTCATTCAACTCTGACCGGAATACCAAATAACTAGGAATGATCTCACAAAATGTTTTTTTACAAATCTATGTAGTTTATTTTCTTCTGAATTGATTTTCCATCATTTTGACACTATATTGCTTCTGTGGCGTCAGGTGTACATTGTTTTACGTTGAGTTCAGCCATTGTTACTTACATAAGACGGCAAAATAGAATACAGTCTGATCATGCTGCCCACAGTACTGAAAACCATTGTGGCCGCTTTACGTATCGCAGTTTGGTCTTCAACTGGGCATTTCCATCAATGGAAAGATGATCACTGAGTACTTAGTCTTAACCCGAGTCCCGTTCGACAAACGAAAGCACCAGACAAAAAAATACAGACAATAGAAATGCACGAGAAGTCGGTTAAAAAAGGCTGACTTTTTGTTGTTTGTTATATTGTCTGGTTTTACTCGTTTTCATTTTAGCAACTGTCATAAAACAAATATTCATTTTTTTAATAACTGTTCTTAAATGATTCAACAAACCCGGTCGTTATTCAGGTGCAGGGAAATTCATTGGATTCTGTTTGATCCGTTCAATAAATCCACCCAAGCTGATCCATATGACCGGGAATTCATTACGTCTAAATTTTTGTTCTTCGGAACTTGCCTCGACAGTCGCTCTTCCTGCAACTTTTACGCGCCCATCCTGTACATGGTCACCTAGTTATCCTTATCAGATTTCTGTTCCCAGTTGTCATACTTCTCTGTTCCAATCTTCTTTTTCCCCGAACTGCCAAGTTGTGGAACACCCTCCTACTTTCCGTCGTTCCCCCAACTACCAAATTCACATTATATTTAAATGCAGAATCAATAAACTCAATCTTTCGTGAATGTACGCCTACTCTTCCTTTAACGATAGGTTTTTTTTCTATAGAGATTTCCCCTTTTTCTATTATTCACATTGTGTGTTATAAAACACAGGTCAAGCGGGCCGATTTTTAATACCCATTTTGGTGAACCGGTAAAAACATCTTCCTTCAGTTCGAGCTATGAGAAACTTTCTTCAGTAAATTCTCTCGTGCCGATGATTTGCGGTGGTGTCCAAATGGTTAGATCACCACTTACTAACCCAGAGGTCCCGGGTTCGAACCACTCCATCGCCTCCCGTTTTTCCTATTTCTTAATTTCCCCAGGCAGCCTTTGTATGGCCACAGCCCCCTTCCTGAAAGTTGATTGTACACTTGTATATTCAATACATAAACATGAAGTAAAAAAGACATTTATTAGAAACACATGACGAACCCGTACCCCTGAGTTCTTTGAATATCGATTCGTCTGAAATATGTACACTCAATAATTTATGCCTCAAGCAGATCTAGCTAAGTTGAAAACACATTAGCCAAACGCGTCTGATCTTCCGAAATGTGTAGCATGATTCATGTCGCGTCCTTTCACAGATTAAAGAGTTATCCATAACACGCACACTCTGAATGGAGTGGTTACTCACACCATATTCTGAAACATATTGCTTGGAATTAATAAACTATTAATCCAGCTGAAGCCTATCAGATTTGAAGAAAGAAAAACCGAAATAACAGTAAACCGTTTTGTCTCAGTAAACTTACATGGACGATGATTGGCGTCCCAGGTGTGCTGGTTTCTTGTTTGCAGGCCACACACGCACGCACGCACACGCTCGTACACACACCCAACGTAGTTGCTTTCTGTTTTTTCCCCGTTATCCCAAGTCTGAAACTTGGAATAAACGTTCGCAATTAGAGGAGGCCTAAAATGACTTTTTAACTTTGTTACTTCTTGTCATCATTGTTTATCATTGTTCTCCTTCCGTATTGAGACTATTTTATATAGGATTCCTTTCGTTACCTGTATTGTATCAATATTTCAAAACCCTGTTACCCATAATTTCAATGGTCATTATAATGTCCAGAGGAATTGAGGCGTTCACTTTCGTTCTTGTGACCAACTATCATGAATTTTATAGCTTTATCTATCAATCAACCGAAAGAAGTGTGCGCGCTCACATACGTAGATATACGCGTGCTAGGAACGTTTGATTCAACAGCCTTAGTATTTCTGTATGTATCAATAACTGGCAATAGCGGGGGAAAAATTGCTAAACCAAACTAGCTGTATGAACTGTGTATCTCCTGGGTCCGATGTAAGTATATTTTAGCGGAAATGTTGACAATGCAATTATCAGGACACTGATGTATTTCACTCAGAGAGTTTATTATGACACCGATCAACCCTATTCCATTTCCGATGGAGTCTACTTCGGATGCCCAACAAACAGCGCTGGAAAGCTGCTTCGTCTTTGTCTAGACACGTCATCAGGATGTGCTTGATGGATCCTTGTCGGGATTTGAACCTTGGGTTTGGAATCGGGCAACATTCTCTAGATTATCAGTGAGATATTCCTAAAGTGTTTATCTCGGTTATGCATTATCCTAGCAACACCCTCCGAAGCGGCCGGTGCTTCTAATCCTAAGTTCTACCACAAGAACTTAACTTGTATAATTTGGTTCTCACATTTCTCTCTCGCTCGCTCATTTCTTAGCCCGTGGCTTGTGGTTCTCGTCCAGGTGATTCCGTGACTCCGAGAACGAGCTTTCAACCACCAAACATGCGATTTATCACACGATCAGTGCACCTGAATGTACTTCAGTGGATTGCTGCGACACACGAACCGGCACGCACGAAATGTGAGTGGCTATTTGGTTGACTCCTCGTCAAAAAAGAACAAATATCGAAATGCATTTTTAAAGCTATGTCAAACCATATTCATAGCACAACGGAGGGGACAGGATAATAGAGACACGCTTAGACGAAAGCATATCACATGAACCGATCAAGTATGCTCTGAGTCGCAGATACCGAATGTAGCTGATTTGCAAAATACCTATTTTTTCATAACTGTAACCAATTTTCCGGATGCAATGGTGCGTCTTTACAATAAACCTAAATACACAGAAACACTTTGATNCCACAGTTTTGAGGTTTTAAATTTTAGGTATGCAGCTACTAACGCGCAAGTTCTAAGCCCAGTGGTATTGATTGTGATTTCTCATCCTTCAGACTTGATTTTTAGGCAAAGTCCTCGAGTTATCCGCAAAATAGAGAAGTACTAGATCTAGAGTTACTTTCTTTCTCTGAGAGAGCTCTGGATTTGTTTGCTTAATGTGCTAGTACTTCTTCACAGAGAGTGTTTGTGTGATGACCTCTCATGTTTAACTTTATTGTTGACAAACTGAACTTTCACGCATTTTGTAACAAAAAATACTGGGATGTTAGGAATGTGGAATTCTCATGGTATGATAAGTCTATTTTCCATGTTACATGAATTCAAGTATCTTATTCTCCTTTTACATTACAAACGAAATGAATTGCAGTAAAAGGGGTAAACCCAATAGTCTTTTGATCACTCAAGACTGGCTACTGCTTGCATTCTTTTTATCTAATGTTCGTTTTTAGTACACGCCGGTGAGTGATGGATAGCAGACAAGCCGGACCCCATGGTCACAATGACCTGCTGTTCAATGGTGGTAACCAGTAACTTAAGCCCTGAGACTTGGCGTAACGAACCACATAAAGCCCCGCTAGGTGAAGCGGTGGTATAGAACCGGGCGATAGCAAAGCTCTCTATCACCAAAGTTGGGTGGCGGTGGCAGGGCTCAAACCACAGGGTCCTATGCACACCAGTGACAGCGTACAGGTTGTACCCTTTGAAACATTGAAACCGTATAATCTTATCCAGATCGGCTGATCGTTGACAGCGCCATTCGTAAGTAAGAGTTTCTATCCTCAAACCGTTTATTTACCATTCAATTTCCTGGAGAAGGACAAAACCCATACACACACCACTGATGAGTCCCAACAGCGAAGGTTAAATTCCTATTCAGTGCTCAACCAGTACACAAAATAAGTTGATTAATTATGAAGAATGCGTTAAATAATCAAGCTGTCTTGGAAACGCTGATCAAACATGACCTATCCATGTGAATTCATGTTTTGCACCAACTATTCTATTTGTGGCTTGATCACATACATCATTTGTTGTTGTTTTTTTCAGCCAAGGAAGACCAGTGCACCAACTTTCTATGCACCACTGGGTTGCACACCTTGCTCCTAATCGGTCTGGTTGGACTGTTAACATGCGTGATGGGCATTATCGGACTAATGCTCGCACGCCGCTACCAGAATCGACATGAGGGGACAAGCTACACGCACAACAATAATCACGTTCCACCAAAATCCTCCAATCACGCGTACAGACAACCGATCGAGGCGCTTCCCGGTCCTGATCTGCTCAACAGTTCCACATTGAACAAGTCCATCCGATCTGGACGCCTATCGGACGGGCCTGTTGGAAATCACCAGGGAGAGTCGGCTGATGCTAACTGGTGGCTTACACTGCACGCTTATTCGAATGCTCAATTAAATGATAGCCTACCACGAATGGGGACCAGGGCTAATGGCAATGATCATAATCGTCTTCAATTGAATAGTACCAGTAACAACAATAATAATAGTCACAACACCATTCCAACATTTCTCTCGCTACCACGATGTTCTTGCTCAGAGACTGGAAGTCACGTGGCCTCAGTTAACATCGGATCGGGATCACATGTTCCCCCTGTGCCGTTTACCCCGTCTAGCCCGGTGAACTTGACCAGTTTTCAAACAGATGTGGCCAATCGAAAAGCTGAGCACGCCTTATTATTTGCACCCGCTCATGATAGTACCACATCCTCATTGAGAGGAGTTACCTATCTGCAATTGACTGATCCAGATCGAATGCAATCGGTCACGAATCGATCAACTCCGTCGGAAGTAACCTGGACACCGTGGGCTACGAATGGACAACATTCGGATGATTGTAGTTCAGCCCCGTCCAAAGAATATCCCTGTGTGATAGCTCGAGGTGTTCCTCCAGGCGGGGAGTCCAGTTCAGCCTATTCCACCTGCGACAGACGTGACACGTTCGTGAGGACATGAGGTCAAGTGGCACTGTTTGAAGTTCTTTCAGCATTGAAATGGATCAATAAGTATATCGGGATCAGTCCATTTGAGGTAAGTATTCAAATTAGAAAGTACCCTTTGGTCACTCTAAAATTCCAATGTTGTGGTTTGCATTCGTCATCGAACCGTATGCGCCAAAAACCAGGAAGAAAGCCTTTTTCTTCGTTGAAGCACACAAACCTTTTGAGTTCAAATTGCAGGCTCAAATGGCAAAAGTTCTGGAACTCAATTAAAATGAATACAAAGCCACGAAACTGAAAGATATTGCTGAAAAGAGTATTTGAGGAAACTTTTCAGTGTGTATACAGAAAACTTATTTATTGCAAACGACCTTACTTTCATAACTTTACCTTAAGGCCTGTACAGTAACCTGCATATTTGCTTATAAAATACGTCGGAATCTTCGTTGATCGGTTAACTGAAATCGTGTTGTGTTACGTATTTCGTAAAATGACAAAAAAAGGAAAAGGTGTAACCTAAAGCAAAGAAAACGTAAACCTTGTGGGCTGTTTGTGGAGTTCTGCTGTTGGCATGACAATATTGGTCTCAATTTCTCGCATCACCATCTCGTGAGAGAGGTCACTTACAGATTTACTTCCTAGATCAACCATTTGCCAAACCGTGCCCCTGTTTCGGTCAGACAGAGTACGACGACTGAGCTTCTTACTACTTAGCCAAGCCGGTTTATGTTCTTAATTCACTGTGAAAGCCACCTTGTCGTTTGACCAACGTAACTCGCCGCACAAGTACAGTAGATGATCACTTATGAGATGAGACCGGCTATTTTATCCTTAATATTCATGCAAAGTATTAACCTTCTATTGTGAACGTTGTTTGTAGGGTGACGGCTGAATGTGTACGTCATTGTATCTGGCTTCTTACGTCGCTTTTAAAAGACAACCACAGGAACAAAACTTCGTCTTTCCACTTCCATTGCTTTGACCGGTGGTGGTTTTTCTATCATGTTTGCCCAAAGAACCGTTCAGTACATCTTTTTAATTTTGAAAGATGTGCTTGACTTCCTATTGGTTTGCTGAATTAGATTCAGTAGGCTGTGTGCAATAAGTTCAAAATGAACGCTCGTGTACTTCAAAGGGGATGAAGCGAAGGTAATGTACGTACTGATCATTCGAAGTTAATGGCAAGTAGAAAGGAGGTAGTTCTCTAACGACCTTTTCATTTTGCTTTACATCTAGAAAGTGAAATTCGTTTCTCTTTGAATGTGATATTATTAGTACCTATGTATTTTGCTAAATTATTTTTTCAAAACGTGTTGTTGACATGAAAACAATATGGCGGAATTTGGTTCATACTGTACCGAGTTAGACTATTTTCTGCTTGCAGCGGACCCTGTATCGTCCCTGCCTCACCATGGCATCAGTTGCTGAAGGTGCACCTTAGGACGATCTCCTTCGGGGTCATAGTTGATATTTTAATGTGTGTATACTTTTCATCGATAAATTGACATAAGTACCCTACCATTGCAAAAGCTCTACGTTCGTGGACAACGAAACCGTGTTCAATGAGCCCGATATGAGTTCGTTATCATCCACATTTCGGATTCCTCTCCTTTGTAAATCCAGAGGTGAAGAGTTTCGGATTAGACATATTTTGGTTCATAGTTTAATCAACGGTCACTGGACTAGGTGACGAACAGTCAATCCCCAGTCCCCCTGTATCCTTCTTTCTAGCTCGTTAACTCACTCTAAAAGTTCTTTGATTTGGTTTCGGAGAAATCAATCTTATTTTGATAGACTCGGTGGTGCCAGAAGGTGAGAAGCACCAATAACATTGTTATGTTATCCTTAGACATAGCTGATGAATTCTCTTGAAGTTGTTGCGTTCGCATTCGGTTTTAAAAAGATACAGAATCACACTTAGCTCTTGGAATCCTCTGGGGTAAAAACGGTTTCTACCCTCTGTACACACGCCCACACATTCACTCAGACACAACATAATAACATAATAATAATAATAATAATAATATTAACATAATAATAGCAACCGAACTCAGTCATTCAGTTCATACACCATCACTGCGACCACCGGGTAGCGTAGGACTCACAACATGAGCTACACGCATTAGTGCATCCATACAGTCCGATGTGAGCTTTCTAATCCCCTGCGGTTTACATAGAAAATCAAAATTAGAACGGTTCAACTGCGGAACACTGAAAGTAATTGCTTTTAGTCCAAATAGTGAACAAGAAGGAGGACATATTCTACTGCTGGATTATACTACCTAAACAGCCATCTTCATCACCTAATTTTCCATGCAATAGACTAGATAGTAAATGTTTTAGGCCATTATTGTGAAAAATCCCTTGGTTATTATTTTCTCTGATGATAACCCAAATGATCTGTCAAACACGAAGCAGGAATATCTTGAAAGAACCTATGCACACATGCTCAGCAATTAGTGAAGAAATTGATATGTTTGCTGTAGTTGATCTCCCAAACAGCTACATGAGCCTTTCGTGAAGAAACGGTTGAGCAAAACAGTATTTATTCCGAGGTTAATCGCTTATTTGGAAAGCTGCAGTTACATTTCAGTCATTGGGAAGTGTTTAGCACTACCGTTTGCCACATAATGAAACGACAAATGTCTTGTTGTTTTATTGGACTAATATCAACAGCTGAAGCGGGATTCGAACGCTAGACACTGGACACCGCGTACACGGTTTGCAAAGTCAGTAGGTTAAAAGATGAGTTTAGCTATTCGTATTCTACAGAGAATCCCACATTTTTTAGATATTTCGGCCGTAATATGTTGTCTAGTTCACCGGGTCTTTTGAAACATCCTTGTAACCGAAACGAACTCAATTCTCCATCAACAGACAAAAGTACGTTTGAGTGAATTACCGAGTGAGAATGAAGGTTTTGGTGATGAAGGTCCCACCGCTCAACTACACTCTCCGGGAGCTTTACATGCTTGAAATTTTATTGAGTGAACTTTACACGAGAATATAGGTAATTCACCTTGATCGGTCGGGTGAGGAAGTGCGTGGTGGCTCAGTCTTAAGGTCACTAAATTATCATCCCCAGAGGGCGTGTGTTCGGTTCTCATCAACAACGTCCGGCTTGTGTGTTGTATGGCAGCCCTTTGATTGGTCGATTACTCCATCCTGAAAACTGAATCCGTGTATATTCAATCAAATTAAGTAAAATTGAACGCCATAAAAATAGAAAAATTTAATACGGGTCACAAAATCGGTCATTATGATTGCTGACGTGAACCGTTGTATAAGCAGGTTCAGTTCATGACCTGCCTGGCCTAGTGAGTGAATTCCATTGAGATCGACGTTCCGTCGAATTCCACGGCGCATCTGAAACCACACGCAAGTTTGTGCACGCTTCTACCCTCGAAATGTCTACATAGCAAGGTGCTTAACAGATACAGTGAATAACCTACCAATACTTCACTCAAATATCAAGACAACCTGAACTCTTTTACTGTTTACCAGAAATTATGTATTTCTGGACGGACTACTGTAATCCATCTTCAGCCACAGCAGCGATGTCCTGCAATATGGACCTTCCTCCGTAGCACAGCTTCGTACCACAATTTCTGACCTTCGTGGCATCCGTGCTCATCTAAATCGCATCTCCTCAGGACCACTTAGGGAGAAAGAACAAAGGAAGATCAAAGTATGAGTACCCGAATTAAAACTTCGGATAGCATCAAGGTTTATTGAACCAGGATTTCCTTAAAACTTGACCATGGTTTCACCACATCCTGAAGGTTGCACCAGTAGAAGTTCAGGAACACAACTTTATTCATCATTGCGTCAGCCAACCTTTAAAAAATAACATAACAATGTAAACACTATTAGAGAAATTTGTGATAATGCAATACAGTTCAGTTCAATCCAGCTCTGACAACCAATAACCATACACTTTTGCACGCTAGTCTTGGTTGATGTCTCATGACTGCTCATTTGGATGAAGGAGTAAAGGGAAGAGTGGAACTTTCAAGTCACTTTCAGAGTAAAAATAGAGAATTCATGAAGACTAAGGTTGTAAGGACATTGACAAGATGCCCAAATGCTGATTATGATTTACCCATCCAGGAAGGCTTGTGCGACCCATACGAGCAGGTTTCTTAGTCAGAGTCTTCATTCGCAATGTATAAAACACGAGAACAATGGACTTGAGTTACCACTCCGCATGGAATGAAATTTTAATGGCAGATAAAAGTAGATAAGTCACTTGATGCATCCGAAATCGTGTGACCATTTGGCGTATTTCCATCTAAGTAACCGATCAGTATACAACCATTGGGATTTCTATTAGTTATTTCCACAGGCTTTCCCCAAACATATTAGTTTTCTGTAATCGTGACCTGATTTGTAGCAGTAACTGTCTGACTGCTTAGAAAATCCATGGAATCGTATCTTCCATCCATTTAGAGGCATTGTAACCACCCCAATTACTGCGTTTAGAGACAGTAGGCGAAATGGCTGAAGACAGTAAATAGTTGTGCACATACATCTGGTAACTTTCTACACAGACTTTGGATAATCCAAATTCCGGCCACCAAAATCGGCACAAGAGTGCACAACAACGGTCTGTGTAGTGAGAAAATAACGTATGAAATGATAGTCCTTGATGGATGAATGGATGAGAACAATAAACACAGAACAGCCAAATTTGGTGCTAACACTTAAAAACAAATCGAAAATCGTGTGATTCTTATCGTCTTATTGTTTAACTCCGAAATGTCCTAAATTTATTGCTGCAATTTTGAACCTAAATACAATGAAACTGATAATTTACAGCCGATCAGGGTGATTCGAATCGAACGGTGACCTGTTTCAGAATATCTGATATCTGATTTAACCAGGCCGCTTGTTTGAAGCAACCTGTTATATGAACGAGCAACAAATAGACGAGATAGATTTGGTCCCATTATCTCACTCTCCGTTTGTCTTATCGCGAAGATCCTGTTCCAACAGGAAGTGTTAGAATCAGATTAG